TTTTTTCCTACTGAATTGGGCCCCAGTTCAACAGGAGTCTTTGCATGGATTACAATGGACTTCAGGTCACACGCTAGAAAATACAACTGAATGTAAATATTTGTCCCCTTTGAGTTTTCAGTTTTTCTTTCTTTTTTTCTTCTTTCTTGGTAGTAAACTGTTTTAAAGTCCCATGGGATGTGATCTGATGCCATTTTGAAATGGGAATTGGTATATAATGCTCTTGAGATGAATAATTAGTTACACTCTTAAGGGGTCTAGTGTCAAGCCTTGAAATATTCTTAATGGAATGGGATTCACTCTGTAATGTGAAATCTGTAAATAGTATGTGTATCATATTGTGTATTGATAGTAACCAACAATGACCAAAGTCCACTTTGAAAAATGGTAGTAGATGGTTCGTGGTGGAACAAGGAATGAGGTTCTTATTAAACAATGACCCTTGATAAGGGTTTGTTTTGATGAGAAACATTCCTAATCAGGACTTGAGTTTAGAAAAGTCAAGAATTGATAGGACTGACCGAAGCCAAGCAGACTATGGGCTAATCCTGTCTAAAGGTCCAGTTCTAATACCCACATTCATTTATACTCATACTAAACAGAACCAGACTATACAAGCAGTCCCGTCAGCGTCATCAGGGTTACCAGTACATGACACTATTGCTCCCGTTGAGTGGAGGTATCACAGTCAGGCTGTACATTACTTATTGTGGCTATCAAGTGACTAGCAACATCCATTCTATCACTTGGCCTTTTAAATAATGTTCAGGATTTCACCCATTTTAGGATGCCAATCATGCTGCAGTTCATTAATGACTTCATTTTGCTCTGCTCCATGCCACTTAGGCGCTCATTACAAAAAAAAAGAGGATTAGAGAATCATTCCACTTAGCAATTTCTCCTCATTGTACAAATAGTATATGGTTTTTCATGGCAACTAACATGAAATATCACCCCTAGATTTAAAAACAAAAACAAGTAGGGAATGCAATGCCTTTATCAAAAAATGAGATGATTATTTCTCAAACAAAGCATCTTTTCTTTCAATCAAGCAAACATTTTGCAAGCATTTCCCGAACTAATAATGCACATTTATTTTACTTCCCTGTCTCTCTCAAATGATAAATACTCATTATCCCACTTCTAGGCACTCACATTAATCTGTTTGTCAACAAATTAAAAGCTATTATCTTGCCAAAGCCATTGTCTGCTACTGCCTCACTGCTCTGCTGCCTTCCTTTTTTCACTCGAAATTCAAGGATGAAGATTGCTTGTTAATACAAAGAGCTTATACAGAAAGGGTTTGGAGGGAAATGAATTTATAATGGAACAAGGTCACAAACAAATCTTTCTGTTAATAGGCCCCCCAGCAATTAGAGATGGGAACATTATCTTATCCATCCTGCAAGACCAGCACACAGTTTTTCTTGTAAGATTATTTCTTTAAGTTAATTTTCTGTCATTCATTTTACTGCCTCGTCCCATTTTAAATGCCTCAAGTGAAGGAGCTTCCATCACTGTCCACCTATCAGTTGCCATTGTCTTCAGAAAATGGTTCTCACTCTATTTCTATGGAGGCCAGTTTGGCAAGCTCTTGGGCTGGCTTCCTTGAGAGTCAAGTGCACTTTCTCCATTCACAAGGTATTCTACAGCCTGCAGGATCAGGCCTCTTGGTGAGACAGGACTCATTTTAAAGCCAGACTTCAGAAGTTAAATTCTTGATTAGCCCCACCAGGAGCGCAGGTTCCCTACATACTTTGTTTCCTGTTCTCCTGTTCCAGAATTGCTATCATGATCTAGTGACAGATTTTTATAGGAGATTGCATCAACTGCCCTTCCTGGTCACTAACATGAGCTGCAAGAAATCTTCAGGAACTCTGACATGAGAGAGATTAGAGCAAAATTAGGTGGCAAGTTGAAGTCACATATTTAATGGGATAAAAAAAAAAAAATTGCCAGGAAACCTGGCATCTATGCAGAGAGGAATCATAAAGAGATCTTTGAGAGAATATTAAAGGTTAATTATTCCTTAGCCTTTATTTGTGTTCCTTGCAAGGAGAAGTGCTCACTCACACAGTCGCACTCTGAATCACTGCAGCTGGGCTCTAAGACAATGAATTGCAGTTCTCAACATGCAGTTCTCAAAAGCCACAATACCCTGCTGTCCTCATTATAGAAACGACATAAGAAAAGATTTTGGGGAGAATGAGTAAAGGCTGTTTGGCTGTTCAAGGCTCAATAATTTCCTCAGGAACACAGAATCTAATTGTTTCCTCAGTTACCCTGGTGGGTTTTTATATTTTACCTGAACAACCTTGGCTGGTTGGCTATTTCACACATTAATTATTTTCCCTGAGAAAATAAGTGCTTCTTGCTGTGTGCCGTGACTCTCTTTTTTCTGAATTTTCCTGGAATAGCCCCTTGGTCTATCATTATTTTTAATTTCATGTTCCGTTAATTGTACTGCTTCTTACCCTCTTGCTAGCCAAGAAACCTTCAGCATCCACTGAAGACTTAGAAGATGCCAGCCTGCCAGCAACCGAAGAGAATCCACAAGCCTTACTTGTTACTGAATCTGCGGATTCCCCACAGAAACAGACAGAAAGAAACCCAGCACAGCTTCCCAGCCCCCCATTGCTCCCGATTCCTCCACCTAAGGCAGTGTCTAAAATCACTAAAAGTGTAACAGGTGAGTCACAACAGCCTAGAAAGACCTTTCTGTCCCCTCAACATGGTCATCCTCTACACATGTGGATGCATCATTTTTCTCCTACCTACTTTTTTGGTCAGATCCTCAGCTGCTAAAAATTAAATCTAGTTTCTTGAATGAACTGTAATCTAAAAGCACTAAATCTCTGTGTGTGACATGGATACCAGACCTTTCATAGGTTGGTTTGTTTCTGGAGGTTGTTGTAAGGCTGCTGTTTTCAACACATGTGAAGCAGATCAAACTGATTGCAGACATGTGCCAAATCAGCAACTTCCACAAGTTGTTGTGAACATCGAAGAAAGTTTCAATTAATTTCACTGGACAGAAACACAATCCAATAACGTTTTGGCAGCAGTGCAGTTCCACTCAATAGGTCCATCGTAACATTTTTGCCCAAAAGCTTTGGTCTTTTGGCAGGTCTAAATTAGAGCTCTGCAAACTGCTCTAATTACACAGAAGTGCATCTGAACATTTCACCTAGTTTCCACAATCTACTTCCTCCATCTCAGGATTCACTCAAAATTCCAGCTTCAGACCCTCGAAAAATGAATTCCTTAATACACCATCACAGTGGTATTACATTTTTCAATAGTCTAGCAGTGGAAAGGGCATTTCAGTAAGTACAACTGTCATTTGTTCCCTCTCTGAGGACCCTTTACATTGCAAGAGTGGTGAAAAAGGCCTTAAGTTTTAATGAGAATCAGACTTGAACATCTAAAGTACCTGATTTTATCCATTAATTAGGCATAAGCACTGGGCTACTGCCATGATTTGCATCCATAATTTACTGATACAAAAAAGGTGGATTATGGTTTTGGAATCACAAGGAAGCAGAAGATTAGAGGGTGCTGTTCTTCCAACCAGAACTAGTGGGAGACTTTTGGGTTAAACTACATCTGTGGCAAATTGAATTTTAGCTTAAATGAAATGTTTCATGAAAAATGCAGGGGTTTTTTGCTATGGAAAGCATCAATATTTTGTCAGAAAACAAGAGTATTTGAATCAAAAGTGGTGTTAGGGTTTCCTGAGAGTGGTAGTATAGGGTATGGGCAACATACTTTTTAGCCACTTTAGAAGGGTGGAGGAGAAGTTGGGGTGGGTGGAGGAAGGAGGCAGAGCTGATACTTGGGAAGGCACATCAGCTGTTATTCTGTTATAGCTGCATGAACCTGAAGATATCTTGACCCTAGTGAAACAAGGGTAAAGTTTTAGTGGGTTTGCTACAGAATCAGCCAGATATAACAATTACATTCTCAACAGCTTATACTGGTTTGTTGTTCCCATCTATACCCTTAGACATAAGCGCTGACTTTTATTTTTGCCGGGGTGGATCTAAGATGATGGACATGTGGATAGTATTACACATTTCAGGTGACAGCTGTCTTCCCAAGGTGGGGCCAGAGTCCTCGGGCCCCCACATACTCAGCTGCTCTGGCCTTAGATAGTTTATGCTTTTGTTCCCTTCTCTAAGCCAAGCTGTCTGGGTTCCTACTTCTTCCATAACGCAGCATGATCAGGCATACCTATGGCCTTCATCCTCTCACCAAGAGAAGAATCAATCATGTCTCATGGGACATATAATTAGAAAGAAACTGGCCTGTAGAGCAGAAACCCTACAACTCCCATAAGGCATTTCAGTTGAGAGAACTTGTTGTTTGGCCCCCAACTTTTTGTGGTCTAGAAATATTTTAACGTGTAGTATTTCATTTTTATCTGTATTTTCTACAGGGAGTGGCGGTGGGGGGAGGGGGAAGAAAAAAACACCCACAATCCGTGTTTTTAGACTACTTTGAGTAATGACACTTAAAAGAGAAGGGAGGGCTTTTCTGTATATAGAAGTGAAGGTAGTAGAAAGCCAAACCTGAACAAGTAACAGCAGGGAGTGCGAGGGAAACAAAATGGCAGGGAGAGAGAGAGAGGAACTGTGATGTGAAAGCAACAAAGCCAAAGCAGCGCTCTAGATGCTGGTGGTGGAAGGAAGGAGGAATAAGCCAGCACTAATTAATCATAAAAGGGGGAGGAGGGCAAAGCATGGGCAAAGCACCAAGGAACCACTTTGTAAGATTATTCATTGACCACTTGTTGGTAGAACAAACCATGTGTGATTTATAAAAGTACTCAGAGTGCTGCCTTGAGGGCCCAGTCCCATGGGCAGCTTCATCATCAAGGAAGTATAAAAAGTGACATAAGTCATGTCTACAGGGTAAGCTTACTGTGCCAGGCAATGCTACCTGCAGATAGGCCATGTGGGACAGCATGGTGTGCCTCCTAAACCAAAAAACATGGACTTACAACACCACCGGTGGACTGGGGAGAAGAGGGTGTGAGCCAACTGACCCTATCATTCAGCAGTGCTAATTAGTCCAACTGTAGTGCTGTTCAGATGTGGCTACACCATTTCCAGGGCAGGTAGCAGCCTGCATGGAGCAATACAGCCACGCTTGAGGATACCGCTGTTGGGCACAATGAGTTTAAAGTATAGCTGTGGCTTCGGACACCTCCCCTCCCCTCCCCTCCCCCACCACTCAGAAACGTAGATCTTCCTGTGAAAGCAGAAGCAATCCTTTCCTCTTGCTCAGAAGTGCAGCTGGTCTTAGAGGTGTTTTTCATCCCTTTGAGCTATGGTTCATTGGAAAGCAGATAGATTATAAATCTCTATGTACGTTTCCATAGTAGCATGTGATCAACATCTTCCTGAGCTCAGATCTATGCCTGCTGGATATGGAGAGACCACTTCAGGGGAAGAAATGTAGATGTCGTTGGGGTAAATGGTACACAGCTTTATTTCCATTGCATTGTGGCTTGGTTCTACACTTCACAGACATGTCAATAAATGTTTCCATGCTTTAAAGCAGTTAAAGCAGTAGTTTCCAAGGTACCCCTTACTAGATTCAAGTTATCCTTGGAAAATGCCTGCTCTTAGCTTTCAATAATTTATTTTTATGACATAAAATAACAGGAATTCTTCTGTTGCAAAGAGCTCAGAAAGACCACAGCAGAGCAGAATATTTTTCTGCACACAGCAACTGACCCCTCTCACAGCAGGGAAGAATATTTTGATACTGTGGATTCCTATTAGAAATTTCTGGGTTTATCCTTTGAGACATGCATAGGTGTTTGCACCTTAACAATGCTAATATTGTGTGGCACCCTGAGGCACCATTAAAAGGATGTCATGGCACCCCGGTTGAGAATTACTGCTTTAAAGTGTTTTCAGGACTAGGTCACCCACATAGATTTAATTCACTCTTTTTCTATATACATACATATAAAGAGAGAAAGGATGGATAATTGATTAGGCATCTGGTGAGGGCCATGAAAAACATGCAATCTTGCCAAAATTATTAAAAAATCATGAGTCAGACCCTCTTCTCCCCCCAAAACATGAGAATGTAACTCACAATGTAATCAATCTCTCTCTCAAAAATAGCAAAAAAACCCCAAAAGAAATACTCATGATTTGTGTGCAGTCATGCCATCCATTCCCACCTTCAGTCATCTGGGTGTGACAGTCAGCCTACTCTCCCAGATGTATATATTGAGCTAGCAGATCTGGGCCCTTGCTGCATGAATTTTCACTCCCAGATGATAAATTTACCATTCCATCAATTGCCCTTAAGCTTGTTGTGCTGCTACATATGGAGTGTGTGCTAAACTGGAAGCAGCATAGTTGCTAATTAGCTAGGGGTAGGCTAATTGTCACAGACATTCAACAACACTAATTAGTGCACTCCAAGTGTTACACAGAGGTGGCAATCATTTTTTAGTTTATAGGAGGTTGCTGCCTCTGGGGAGGGTAGGTTTACTGTATATTACTGCCTTAGTCTACCTGGGTCAGCGTTTTATATGGTAGTTAAGTCAGGAGGAATGTAGCCATCTCTGTGCAATACGTCAGGCAGGCTAATTAGCACTGAATACTGGTGTCAGTTGGCCCATATCCATGCCCAGTAGCCTGTCTGTAGTACCATGTTGATGCAGCTACACGGTTTCCAAGTCAGATGGCAGCCTGCGTGGAGTACCTTTGTTTGAGGGTATCACTGTCTCTTAAGGCCAGTTTGCTATGTAAATTAACACAGACCAGTCTAATGAGAAGTCCTTTCTTACTAGGATTCTAGTGATACCAGTAAATGTTTTGTCTGGATGAGGATTTACTCCAAAGAAAGACAATGTTGAAAAGGATCCGTGTTTGTTTAAATGCATGTTTAACACTAGGTGGCAACACGAGAAAAGGAATAGACTTTCACACAACCAAACCAAACAGATTTATGGTACCAAAGTGCAAAGGCCCTGCCTCTGATGTAAAAAGAAAGTGTTGAAAGCAAGTGCAGAAACAGAGCAGGGAAAGACAGTGGGAAGCGAAAGAGAAATGAAGAAAAAGGTGAAACAGCATCTTTTTTACAAGCAAGGGTGTTTACTCTTGCATCCTCCTACAAGTCTTAGGGAGAGAGGGTGGGATTATTAGAGGTTCGGCTTTAGCAGTGTTGGTGTGGGTTGCATTGGGGTGACAGATCTTACTGTTCTCATGGAAGCAATGAGAAGAATGACAGGGACTGAAGAAGAGCCAGTTCTGAAAAAAAAAGGAAGAATACTCTAAATTGCAGTCCAGAGATCTGCAGGCTCTGGCTTGAAGGCTGAGATTTCCAAAGCTGCCTAAGGCACTTGGATATCCAAGTCCCATTAAAATTAATCCAGATGCCCAGATGCTTTGAAAATCTCAGCCTTAGATATAAAAAGGATCAGTTAAACATTTCCCCACTCCTCTTTTCCTTTCCACGGTATTCAGGACCACTACTTTCTTCACTGACATCTATTTAGATTTCATCAACTGAGACCAGTTTTGTTGACCTGAGTAATAGCTTCCTATTGTAAAAGCTCTGGTGTTTCCCTAAGTGACATGAGGGTTAGGGATCCATAAGGAGGTGGCAAGAGCAGAGAATGCATCAGATCTTGATTTTGATCCAAGTGAAGACAAGAGCGCATCAGGTTTAACTCGGTCTTCCGCTGAGTTAAAGTGTACCTGTATATGAAGTTAGGGTTTAGCAGAGATCTGGGTGAGGAATGTGTAGGAATCTAAAATAGATTGATGGGATTGAGAAGGAAGAAAGAGATGACTGTGTTGGGAGGAAGCAGGGAGAAGGGAGAAGAAGAAAAGATCCATTTTTTCCAGGCCAAGCCTCTACAGTACTGGCTCTTGTATTTCAGATCTAGATGGCAATCTCACTGCAGTCTCATGTCTCTGCTATAACCCTCACTATTCAATACATGGAGTGAATTTCAACCTAGGCTCTGTGTGTAACAACAAAGGCCTGGCATCACCTTTAATTTATTTTTTTATTTTTATTTTTTTTGGCAGCAGGAAGTGAAATAGATGACCCAGTTGTGAAATCCCCTCCTTCCACTATCCTGAAGAATTATGTCATCGTTGGTTCCTCCCAAATCTCAGGACAAGCTGCCCTCTTCCATCCTTCTGGCCAGAAAGGCTCTGATTCCCTTATCAGAGGACAGCACCCAACGCCAACTGGCTCCCCTCACCTTGCTGCCGTCCACCTGCCTTTACCTCCCAGCAGAGTCATTGAGGAACTCCACAGGGCTCTGGCCACTAAACATCGGCAGGATAGGTAAATATAGCGCATTGTGTACTGGGGAACAAAATCCTTGAAAATAGAATATTTCTCTAATAAAAATTCCCTTCTTGCTGTTAAACATTCCATTCATTCAAGCTGACTGAATCCGCTCAGTTTTGTCCTCGCGTTATTTGTTGCTGCTGCTAATCCAGACAACAATCTCTGGTTAAAACGAAAGGATCTGTTATTACTTTATAATAACTGAACTTGATAATACTGCAACAGGGAAACAAGGGATCAGATAGGCGAACTTGTTTGATAAAACACAGCCCACAGTAAAAAGTATCTTGTCCCTGAACCAGGATATCAGATGGAATAACATAGGCTAGTCCCAAGAAAAGAACTACACCATTGCAGACCACACACCACTTTAGGCTTATTTGTTAGGAACAGAGATCACAGGCCAGAAGTTCAAAACTGCACGTGCATAAAATGCACAGCTAATCTGGACACAAAACTGTCCAGGCTCTCGCATGCAAATCAGGCAATTTCTCCATCAGGTGGACTGTTCTGATAATCAGGGATACAATTACCTGACTAGCCAATTTAAGCAAATAACTATGCCTGAAAATTAGGAATCCAGTTTCTTGGACACATTTATTGAAAATTAGACCCCAGCAATTTCTCCGAGGTTGCCTGCGACCTTTGGAGCAGTACACAATGGTTAGCATTTCAGAAGATGGAGACAGGGTGTGAATCTCTCTGCCCTGACTCAAAAATGCCTACTTCACCTAAGAAAATGTGTTATTTCAATACTGCATATCATATTTACACGTGACTAGAGAAAATTACCTATTTCTCAATAGTGAAACTATTAAATATGAGCTACTTTATATAAGTTGATCGCTATCTCTCACCTCCGTGATACCTTCCTGCCTCCAGCCTCCTGAACTTTTCCTGAGTGTAGCTAGGCTGCTAACATATAGCTCCTCTGAATCATTCTTCAGCTGTGTTTTCCCTACCGTTGCTTGTGTCCCAATTGTCTGTTGATGTTATCACTGTTAGCATCTACCAAAGAGATCATTTGCTCCCCAATATAGGCTTGTATCTAGGTGCATGAGAAGTGAGAAGCAGCAAGCAGGAAGTCCTGAGTTCCAGTGCTACCTCTGCCAGAGGTTCATTGTGTGACCTCAGACAAGACACTTAACATCCCAGGTGCCTCAGTTCAGCCGTTTGCAAAATTAATATAAAAATAATCTGCGAAAATGAAGAGTGCTTTACCAGCATTAAGCAGTAGTATTTTAGTATGGGTTTTTTTTGGCTGTAAGTAAGCATATATGGAATCTTACTTTCCAATAGGAAGGGTGGTATAGGAGTATTTTAGGTACTTCATCTATTTTTCATTATAAACCTTCTACTGCAGCAGTAGAGAAGAACAAAGATATAGTTTTGGATTTAAGTTGGTAACATTTCTCAATACCACAACCGGCTTTGTCATGGGGAATGGATTAATACAATACCCCCTCCAGGTCCTGTTAAATCTTTATCAGGATCATGAAATAGCAGAAGAGTGATGTTTCATGCTATGCATGTTTTACATTAGAAGCACGTGCCGTGTTCTTTGAAAAAGGTCAGCATGTTACAGCATGCAGCGCTGTATCAAAGAAATGCATTAGTTATTACCCTTCTGTACCTTGTTCTTATGACAAAGACTGAGAAGTGGAACAGTGTTAGCCATTCTCATCACAATCCTGGGAATGCAATTGCACGATGTCCCTTGCATGTTTCACTGCAGAGCTATGTATGCTAGGACATGCTGCTTGTGCTCATACAATGCTAGGTTTCTATTGTGACATTGAAGCAGTCTTGTCTGAAAACATGGTTCTGTACCTTCCGTCCACAGCTTTCATGGAAGGGAAAGCAAAGGGTCTCCAAAAAAGAGGGTGGATGTCCGTCCATCCAGAACATCTAGCATTGAGTGCAACAAAGAAAAGGAGAATTCACTGAGCCACAGCAATGATCCAGAGAACAAGCGGAACTCAGTTAAAGAGTCGGATGAGAACAAAGAAAACATGATCATGAACTCGGAACTCAAGGACGACTCTGTATTTTATCAGGATGAAGAGGTTTTGAATGACTCCATTATTTCTGGTAGGGAAACTAAATTTGTTATCTTAATAAAAAAAATTACCATGATCTACAGGAGTGGTCCACGTACTTAAGCATGTGGTAGTGGTCTGGATTTCTCTGTTGTTACCTCATTTTTGCACAGATTCTGTTACTAACTGAAGTTAGTACAGATAGCATATTAAGATGTCATTTAGAGATATACATATAATTTTAATCCATGTCACCCTTTCAGTTTTGCATTAGTTGCTTTGTATCATCTCACCTGCCTGGCAGAGCTTGCATACATGATATCCCATTGTCAGAGCATTATCTGGTGCATACATGCCAGTTTTAAAAGGACCCTTCTGGAGACAGCACTCCAGGATAGGAGGGTATGTGGCAAAAAGTGACAGAGTCAGCTTGGAGGGACATGCATCCATAATACAATGTCCCTCCATAATACAAGGTCTTAAAAACAAAGCCACCTGTCCTTTAACCACCTTTATAGGTTAAACTTTAACAACTTAGTGAATTCATTCCAACCTACCTGCCTAATGGAGTCTGAATTACTTTACTACAGCTCTGGTATGCTGGACCGTATAACGTTTTTTACACTAATGCACAAGAAATTGTCCTCTTGGGAAGTTTTGGGTGAGGTTACCCATTTCATCCAGAATTTATAAAGTTTATTTTCCAGGCCAGAATTCCTAGGGTTCTCCGACATGGAAGGATTCAAATTTCAATCATGATTTCATATATTGTCCCATGAGGACATAGATGGTTAGATGGATGCCTAATTGACTATTTATTCAAGTGCCCAGTTTTTGCAATAATGCAATAATTACATTGCCAATTGTCACTTAGTTATGGGTGAAATCTTTCAAATGCGTGTGTGTGCATGCGCATGTATGCACGTACATGCAGCCAACTTTTTGAAATGCTGATTCCTAATAAATATTTCCCCAGTTCCATTGGATGACATGCCACAGGCTCATAGATCACAGTATGAGGAAGATTTTCCTGTCTTTCCATTCTTCATAATTACACCTCTTTCTTTCATTCTTTAACATTCAAATAAATGATGGAATCAAAACCAAAAAGGTTTGTCAGGTTCATCTCGGTAACAGGTTAGCTTGAATTCAAGTGTCTCCAAACATTAGGGGTGCTTGTACGTGTGATGGGGGTTTAGTCCATGCCCCCTAAAATGAAATGGTGGACCCTGAACCTGGGGAGGCCCCCAGTCCTTCCCTCCGTGACGGGGCCACCAGGGCAGGTTGCTAGAGGGCCGCGTGCTGCCCCAGCTCAGAGGCAGCACCCAGTCCGATCCAACCGTTCCCTGAGCCAACCTGCTGGAAGCCCGCCGAGCGCTGCTCTCTGGGCAGACTCGAGGAACAGTTGGATTGGGCCGCACCAACTTGGGGCAGCACCTGGCCCGCTAGCAGCCTGCCCAGGCAGCCCCAGGGGGCACTGCCACTGTGGAGGGAAGGACCAGGGCCCCCCACAGCTAAGGGGCCGCTTGGACCACTGAGAGCTTGGGCCCTGGCCACAAGAGAGGTGGCAGGCTCTGCCAAAAAAAGGATCGGGCCCCTCACAGCAAGGGGCCCAATCTTTTTTTTTTCTCTGGAGCCGGCCTGCTTTCCCTGCAGCTAGGGGGTGAGCCGACAGGTACGTCATTGCAGTTTGCAAAGTTGCAAACTAAACTACATCCAGATGCAGTTTAGTTTACAGCAATGCAAACTCATCGGAAACCCCATACATTGGTGCACATGTAAACGTGCGATGCTGTTAAGCCACATAAATGACATTTTCGTCACATGTACATTGTGGCGACCATCACACAGTGCCCTAGGATGCTTTTCAAACTGTTGTAAGATCCAAACTTTGGCCTCGGATTTAGATGTACGTAAAATGCCTGGAGATCATCAGTCTGCAAACAGAGTTATAGCTAGGATGCTTGTCCTTTTTATTACAGAGTATGCATTACAAAAAAGGCACGCACAAAATCACATAATTATATTCACCGAGCACAAATCTTGCTGTGTTTTGTGCAAGCACACGTCTGAGTTCTAGTCACTGGTTTTGAAGGAAGGTCATGTGGCAGTTCAACAAAATGGTTCATTCAACTACAGAAGTGACATGTGAGCCAATAATCTCACATCACGACCCCTATGGGAAGGCAACTCTGCAGTCATGAGTTTATACCAGATCTGAACGAGACATTTATTGTTCCCAACACTGGGTGGCACTGTATGCACTTGCATTAGCTGAAATCCACTTACATTTCAAAAGAATTTGCAAAATATACAATTACTGCAAAGGTAAGAACAGAGTAATTCCCTGAGGAATTCTGGTTCCCTCCTGGTTTAAGAAGTCTGAGTTGGCTGGTAGATCAAAAAGAATCTATCTAACCATCTACCTGTATCCACATGCATCTAATCACCTCATCATCTTAGAATCACAGCTCTGGAAGGGACCTCACAGGATGCATCTCTTTTGTGAGGTACAGAAGGGCTGTTATGCCCATTTTTCTGGATTAAGAACTGAGGCACAGAGAGGCTAAGTGGTTTGTCCAAGGTTGCACAGGATTCTGTGTAGCAGATTAGGAAACTATACTTAAATTTCTGCAATCTCATAGTAAAACCCTAACCACCAAACCATTCTTTCTTTGATATGGGGACTGGAAAGAACCACCACAAATGTCATCAGATTGGCAAGTTTAAAAGATATAAGCAAAAGTCACTGAGGCCTAGTGGGAAGATGTGCCAATGTCCTTTGTTATGTGATGGCAGAAGAGTCAAATGACTCCAGAGACACAAGGAAGTTAAAATGAGAGGATCAAAGATTAATTGAAATAGGAGCCTTTAACTTGAACCAACCTCACCCATGAACTGTGGTGATCCAAATAAAATAGGACCTAGACACACATCACAGTTGTCAACCAGTATTATAACTAGCTTGGTAAACTCCTGTCCCTTCCTTAGCACTATTAGGGCTCATGATGGAGCTTCAGGGTAGGGGATTGTATAATTTAAAAACTGAGAGCAAGGTAGGTTTAGAAAATAGCAAGTCACTTGGAGAAAAGTGCTCACTGGGTGCATCTATACATGCAGTTAATGGGCCTGAATTTTCTTCACAAAAGAACTGCACTCCCACATGCATGTGAATGTGCCTGTCAGGAGCAAATTTGCTTCTGATGGGAACAGTTCATTCCTGGACTGCTCCTGCTCTGCTCTGCCCCCCTGCTCTAGGCTCCCATGGGTGCTAACCCTAGCGCTGGCAAGGGCATGGAGGCTGGTCCCTGTCTCCACATAGCTTGGGCGCAGCAGGCCTGGCTGCCCTGACAGCTCTTCCAACCATGTGGCTGAGATGCAGCAGTCCCACCTGTGGGACATCTCTCCCAGTCATGTGGGGATCAGTCCTAATCCCCATGTGGTAGGGAGAGATTACACATAATGTCCCAGGTAGATACTGTAAGGTTTAGTAATGTTTGCAAAACCCTTTCAAAGACTCGGATGGGAGATTCTAGGGAAGAGCAGAGTATCAGTACAACTTGCTTGCATGGAGTTTCCAGACTTCAACGAGAATTTTGGGTTGACTATAGCTCCAGAAAGTTCTAATTTTAGAGCGCTGTCATTGTCTTGAATTCACTGAATGATCTGTGGCAAAAATCTTTTCTGCCTCAGTTTCCCCAGTCTGTAACCTGGTGATAATACTATTAGCTTCTCTGCATAAAGTGAACTGAAATCAACAGGTAACTGGGTGCATCTTCACAAGACGCTTACTGCACAGTAGCCTAATGCAACTGCATAGTAGCGTGCTGGTCAAAAGCTGTGCTAATATGCTACTGCACCGTGTTATTAGGCTACTGCACAGTAAGCATCAGAAAAACACATGTGCTGGTGCTACTGTGCAGTAGTGCAAGTTAATGTGCACTGAATTAGTACTCGGTTAACCAAATATTAAACTTAATGCACAGTAACTAGGACACATTAATGAATGTGTAGACGTGCCCACGAGTAATAGCATAATCCTACAGATCACCTTTAAAGATAAAGCTGACATGAAATGGTAATGGACTCTCCAAGTCATGCCAACCATCAAAGTGACCCTTTGAAAGACAGTCGTAACCTTATCTCAAATGAAAAATAAAGTCCAGATTCAGTTTTCTTCAGAAATTAGATGGCTTTTTCTAAAAAAGCCTAAATGTTAATATAAATGCATGAGAGCAATAAACTCTCTTATTATTCCTATGGTGTATTATAAATTCATTGACAAGAACAAGTGGATATACTGATTTAGTTGGATTTCCTATGTAGAGAGCTAACAACCCACCTCCTGGGGTTTCTCTTCCTCTCAGACCTCCTCTTGCACTGATCTCATGGGGAAGGACACTAACTATGCAGGCAAGGCATACAGGTGTCTTGTATAACTGCCATGTGCTAAAGTTTACTTGTGCTATCGCTTAGTAGAGAAAGACTTTCAGAAAAGGCAAGCTCTACTAAAAGCAGTGAACAGACTGACACGTTTTGGGAGTAACTGCTTTTCTTTTAGTAACCTAGCCCCAAGGAAATCTGGTCTTGCCCTGCTGTGAATTTCATTCTACGTTTTATCTGTTTAAAAAAAAACAACCCCAAACCCCCAAAAAACAAACCGGGCCAACCAACCAAACAAAAAACCAAACAAAGAATGCAGAGAAAATCAGGGGGTTTCCAGCCTGCAAGCTATTTAAAGTAGAGGCCTTATTACCATATAGCTTCTTGTTCATGTTATAAGACAGTTTAATAAGCCAGGGGGCCACATTTTTTCCCTGCTAAACTCATTGAAGTCGGTGGAATTATACCAAGGATGACTGTGAGCCCAACGTTTCATAGGGTTTCTGTGTTAAGTATGAAAGTTTTGTCTCAAGTATTACTGAAGGACAGCACCAAACAGGGGATGGCAGTCAGTACAGTGATGTCAATAGTCAAACTCTCGTAATCCTCAGTGGGAGCAGTTAGAGCAACACTTAGTATTTTTGAAAATCTTACCCCCATGGTAAGGATGGGGAAGCAGAGTGGTGGTGTGTGGCACATGAGCCCTGCCTAAGTGAGGAAGGGGAGGAAAGAGGATGCCAGAATGGATGGGGATACACCTCACCCTCCTGTCCCTTGCTCTGCCTGTGCTTTCCTGCTCCAGCTCCTGAAGCAAGCTGTGGTGGCAGAGGAGCATGTGGCAGTGAGCACAGGACACTTGGATAATTGTAGTTCTGTAGAGTGACAGCAGAGATCACAGCTGCTCCATGGAGATGTCGCTGCCAAGACCTAGAGTTTTTTTGCCTGCTTGACATGGGCATCCGTGGCTGAAAAAAAAGTGGTGACGTCTCCCCTCAGCAGCAGCGAACTTCAACTGCTGCTCCAGTGCTCTGCTCACTGCCAGGGACTCTGGAGCCAAAAAGTACAGCAGGGGAAAGGGGAAGGAGGACTGCCAGGGAAACAGTCCTAGCCAGTTCCACCTCTGACTGCTCCAGGATGCAGGCTTTGTTTTGGGACAAGAGGAGCCCTATAGAACTGATGAGGGGTGTAAGCCTTTGACGCTCAGTGAATGCTTGGAAGCTCATCTCAGCAAAGAACATTTCAACACACTGCCCTGATCTGTAGCGGGTGAAATGGGAAAACAATTCTGCTGTATTTCCAAATGGACCATTGTTCACTGCTCTTGTCAGCCAACTCAGCCCTAACTCTGCCCACAGACATATATACAAGGCTGCAGTCAAACCTTGGAGGTGAACCCTCTGGGGTTTTTCACTTCTGATCTGTGGAAGACTCCAGACTACCCCTTTGACATGTTTGTATTTCAATGCTTGTCCCAGGTACCTTGCCAAGAAAATGCAAGAAAGAGCTGCTGGCAGTCAAGCTACGAAACAGGCCAAGCAAGCAGGAGCTGGAAGACAGGAATATTTTCCCAAGGCGGACAGATGAGGAGCGACAGGAGATCCGGCAGCAAATTGAAATGAAACTCTCAAAGTAAGTCCCTTTGACAGAGAGGAGAGACAGATCTTAGAGTAAAATCTCTTCTATGCCTTGTCTTGCAGGACACGTATACTCCCCCAAGCCCATTTCCCATGGCGAATCATGCATGCAAAGGGCACCAGCAGCAGCAGATTTGAGCCTTAGCTTCAGGGCCTTCCTGGGCTTTTGATCTCTGAGTTCACATATTCTGTGTCTTATACCAGTCACTCCAAAGACTTGTTAACTCCTCCCTGAGTCAGGGTCTCCCTGCCTAAAAGAAAATTCCACTCATAGAGTTAGATTCTGCCCTCGCATGTCTGCCTGCAATGCCAACTGAAGTCACTGGGATTTTTACCTCTTTCCAAGTGGGGCATGCATATCATGAGAACTGATATAGCCACCAAACTTTGCAGCCTTGTCTGTACTGGCGCTTATCCTCAGCCACCAGCATAGCTGCAAACCCCATTCCAGATAGAGCTGCAGCATGCCCTGCCAGGGCTAAGCTCAATGTCTAGCAAGGATGTGAATCTACAGGGCTTTCATCAGCTGGGTTTGTAGATGGGCAGCTACCCAGATGGCTGAAATCTGGGATAACGGCAAATGCGAGACACCTGTTTTCTTTAGGTAACTGGCTTAGCAAAAACACTTAATTGGGCCAAGAGAGCAACATGGTGTAAGGGAAATCACTGCTCTAGCTATGTTGCCTGAATTTTCCAGAAACAGCTAGTTTCAAATTGCCATGCTTTTTTAAACCGCTGAATATGGATAATCTGCAAACATGAATATTTTAGTTGAGACAAAGTGGATTGTTAAATAATCCGTGCTGTTCCCTCCCACGCTGAATAGCAAGCATTGCCTGACTGCCAAAGAGGTTGGAAGCAAATCGAGAGTTTAACAGAAGTTCATTTTATTAAATATTAATTGTCTGAATCTGCTTTGAAGGAATAATTTGCCATGATCCAGGCCAGAGCAAAGCCAGCTCTCTTTGCTTGTGCATTTAATTTACTTTTGTTTTAGGGGGCTGGAATCGAGATGCAGGTTAATGCAGCACAGTACAATTCCTAATGGATAGGAGCCTACACCACAATACATATCATTCAAACTCCATCTTGTGGGGCTTCCATTTGGGGTCCTGAGCTAATAGAAGGACAGGTGCATTTTAGGCAGGTAAATCCCTAAGGTTCAACTTGGATGAGATGCTGGTCTTAATGTTAGTTCCTTGTGAAAAGTTACCATGGGATCTTTAACAGGAGGTGAGAAGCCCTATTTTAGTTACTCAAAACACAGAAAAGCATCTTTGCAAAGCCAAGCCATTATCAGGTGTTTGCACAGTGAAAAGAGTGTCACCTACTGAATCAACATCCCCTTTCTCTGCTGAAGCACCTCTTGGCTCCTTGGAGGTTTTTCCATCTAACTTTTGACTCTGTCTGACCTGATTTAACTTGTGAGAGCTGCTAGAATCACAGCACAAAGAGGTAGGGCTATGGCTATGGGTCATTTCCTCTCTGTTTAGGTTGCTTTGTGTAGTGGAAAAGGAAAATTATGTTTGAGATGCTTGAAATCAGAGTCAGCAGAAAGAATTAAGACCTAAGTTACTATGTCTATAAGAGAAGGAGCACAATATCTAGTCATGACTGGAAGCTGCAGAAGGCAAGGCTTAGAGTCATAGAAAGATAGGGCTGGAAGGGGCCTCAGGAGGTTACATCTAGTCCAACCCCCTGCTCAAAGCAGGACCAGCCCCAACTAGCCAGGTCTTAAACACCTCCAAGGATGGAGATTCCACAGCCACAATAACATCTCAACAACTATCCTCTAGTTATTAATCTGGTAGATAATACCTACAGATAGCTAAAAGCCATTTTCATTCACTGTGACGGAAGACACGCTTTCAATTACCTCCTCCATCTTCCCAGAACTCAGCAGGTTGAATGCATCTCATGGAACAGAAGGTGCAGAGATAGCTAGAATAGCCCACAATGCAAAACAGATTGGAACCAATCCCCCGCATCATCTCCAAGCACATATGAGCATTGGCACAGTGTGGCTCTTTCCTCCTCCACTTGGGTAGAGCATGATCATGCAAACAAACTCAATTGACAGATACATCCTGGGAAAATATTGACTAGATAAAAAGCAAGCACATGTTAAAGAAATACAGAAAATTAGCACCAGTCAGAGCAGTGTCCTAGAGAGATGCTTAGGGAGATGCTGTTTGAATTTATGACCAGAGCTTTTGAGAGGGAAAAAAAAAGCCTGACTTCCCCAGAGAGCCCATGTCAGTTTTTACACCAAATTCAGCACTTGCTTTCTTTGACAGGGCTCTGTAAATCCAGGCAGGTTGGTGTGGATACCTATACAGTGCAACACCAGATTGATATTTTCAAAGTTCCTTAAATCCATTAGTCTCAATGATGGCTTTATGGTTAAATCCCAGATAGGCTTTGCAAATACCAAGCATGATGAGTGAAGTGTATACTGGTATAACTTACTACTAAGTGCTCAGATTTAAAAATGATCCAAGGAACTTTGGATCTAGCAGCTAATTTTGATGGAAATTACTATTCTCTGTAAGATTGTACATTGCAGTGACTACTTCATTGCTAGCGTTGTGAGAAAAATGTTTAGTAGAGACCTCAAGCCCCAGTCCATGCTCTGATTCCACATTTGTCTGATAACAAACTCAGAGCTTACCATAGCCCTGCAAAATGAGTGGTGACTCCTTGCTTGATAGCCATCTGTAATTCCCATAGAGACTTGTCAGTGGACAGGCAGCTGTGTCCCAGATCCAATCCACACAGCTGTACCTGAAGAGTACATAGGAGTCCACAGATATCTACCAAAATGCTCCCGTGCCATCAGTAAAAAACGAATTTTATGTAAAGTGAAGTTCTGCGTCCTAAAAAGGAGAGATGCATTTCTTTTAAAAAAGAGCCTAAAATACTGACGTTAGAGTTGATCAAAAAAGGGAAACTTAAGAACAAAGGAACACGTTTTTATATCAAATGAATATATAGTGAGAGAGCTGACTGTGCTGATGAATGTTCAGGCAGTGAGAGCTACAGCATCTCTTTTCCTCACTTTCCTCATTAAGAAAGAGACCGTTCTGTTGAGTCTGGGGGTCAAAATCTGCCTTTTATACCAGTGTAAGCCCACTGACTTTTACCGGTATAAAAATCAATAGGTTGTCATTGAGAAGTGAAGACAGGGTCAGCTTGAATTTGTCTTGCTTGCTTTAAGAGATGTACATTATTGTTTCTACCTCTCCGCTTCTAGTCAAATATGTCAGCCACCTGTTGTCATGGAAACATATCTCCCCCCTGCCATCATGTCCCTGAGATGTCAGTATTCCAATTTCCCCTAGATTTCCTCTTTCAGTAGGACTCTCTCCCACTAATGCATCCATTTCCAATGCCCCAGGCCAGACATGCCCTGGTAACATCCTATTCTGTGTTAGACAACTGAAGTTCTGATGCTCCAAGCTCTTGATAGTCCCCATTTCCCTTTATTATGTTTTCTGAGTACAGATAATAAGTCCACAGTGCAACTCAATGAACTGAGCTATTTGTGTCAAAAGGTAAAAAGACATTTGCAAGTCACGTTTCGCGCAATAACTGCTTTCCATATTATGGACTTTGTTTCTTCTGCAAGGGAAAGCTGGAATTTGGAGGAGTAAAACAGGCATTAGAATGAGGAGCAGTGCGGAAAAGGTTGTTTAATTAGATTTGGAACAACAATAAGAATGATTATTTCAAAAGTTAACATTTGAATACCTTGGTAACGGTTACTTCCACAGTATGCCTTATATTGCTACAGCCCAAGACACTCCATTATTACTTAATGTTTCCATGAAAACACGAGTTCCTAGAACAGATTATAATTTTGCAATTTTCACATCATGTTCTGTTTCACTCTCTCGGGCATAAGTAGACACGATTCACTAAGAAATATTCAGGAGAGAGATATAGAGATAGGAACTCCAATAAGCAACACATGCACTATTAGGATTTGGACAGGAGAGACAAGTGCCCGGAGCGTCTTGTATATCAGCATCTCCATCCTTCAAAACGGCAATAGGGTGCTTTATCTAAAGCTTGTTGAATGAGCTTTAGATAAAGCACCCCTGCCACCTTTTTGAAGTGCAGGACGCTGATCCAGGAGATGCTGGAGCGCAGTAATTACTATGCTGCAGCAGACTTGATTAATCAGCTTTTGTTTTCTTTTTTACAAAATTACGGCACGTAATTACAGCGCACTGGAGTAGCTCCCTGCTCATGTATAGGTGCCCATAAGCTCTGAAGGAAAGATCTTTACATGTAAATGGCTCTGTAGTTTCAGGTAGGATGTGGGTCCTGGAAGCACATCTCGGAGTGGAGACAATATTTATGGCACTGCAATATTCCAAAAATGCCAAGCAAGGAACAACTAGTAGTTTAAAGGCGTGAGCTGCTACAGTGCAGTTCGATGCAATCACAGACATGCAGAGAGATTTATACAGCGCTATTGTCATGCAGCTTTGGAAGTAAATCACAGTGCGAATCAAGCTTGGAGTGCTTGCTTCATCTAACCTCACCCTGTACTCTCCGAGTGGCTCGGGTGCAGCAGTGGAGCTGGCCCAGAGGAAACGTTCTCGTGTGTCCCAAACAAATTATGCTTATCTGCAAAACAAAAGCTGCGACTGCTTTTTAGAAACTGCATGCACCAGTGGTTTCCTCTTGTGAGTGCTACACCCTAACACTGCCCAGCACAAAGTCATTGGCCCTGCACGATGAACTCCTTGTGAAACATGATCTCTCTCATCCCTGTCAGGTTTTCACAGCTCTATATTGTTACAGTTCTAATAGGTTGTCTCTGTCTATTATTGTCTCTGAACTATTCAGTTCTAATAGGTTGTCCTCCCAGGCGAGGTTCCTCCTCGCCTGGGAGGAATTAATTAATATCACAAAATAATTGTGAAATCCCATGGCATTGGACAGAGCCTCCCCACCACCAGCTGGCTATTCTATTTCCAGTAAAGT